GTCTCATCTTTCTGTTCAACAGAATCAGTTTTAGTTTCATCTTTCTGTTCAACAGGGTCAATATTAGTTTCATCTTTCTGTTCAACGGATTCAATATTAATTTCATTTTTCAGTTCAATAGCTTCATCTTTCTGTTCAACAGATTCAGCAGATTCAATCTTAGTTTCCTGAGAATGATCACGAGTCGATTCATTGATTATAGAAACAGATGGAGCAAAAGTAGTTGTATAGGAAATTGGAGATTCAGTTTGATTAGGTACAGCAACAGTTCGTTTCAAAATTGAAACGGGTGAATCTCGACCACCGACAGAGCCGGAGGAGTCAAGGCGGCCTTTATAAGTTTTAATAGGGGAACCGTTAGTTTCCGGAAGGAACAAATCCGTTATGTTATTGTTATTAAAGGTTTTATGTTTATGGTCATCATCGAGGCCTAATAACTTATCAATGTTCAAACTAATCCTATTCTTTCTACTATTCTTTGATTTGTTTGATCCATTCTCATTATCAGAAAGTGGAGAGTCGTTACTATTTAATCTTTTACCTCTTCTCGCATGATCCGTAGCTTCATCTTCGTTATCAGAAAAGAAAACAAGACTACGACGATTTTTTGACTTCGTTTCACTACTATCATTTGTTTGCTTAGGGATAATACGATTCTTATTATCCACAAGGTCCTTACGTTTTTCTTTTTCAGATTTCGATTTATGACTAAACATTCCTGATAGTGTACGAGCCAAACTTTCACTTTTTTTCTCATCATTTGATCGTTGTTTTGAATCCGATTTTTCAGTCACAGTATCCTTTTCTTCTCTTTTCAGTATATGACGGAAACCACGAGATTTTGATTTTTTACGTTTTGATTTATCTTTCTCTTCCTCAATCATTTGACGATGTTCAGGCAAATTTTCGACAATCGTTACGCTACCGGATAAAGAAGAAGAAACGTAACTTTTGTCTCGTGGATGCTCCGAAAGACCCGATGAAGTGGATTTATTTTCCACATCAATTTCTTCAGCGTGGATACCGTTTCCTTGGTATTGGATAACGTCGATGGATGATGTCATACTTTATGGTTAGGGGTTAGGGATATATAGGTAATGTAAAATGTAATAAATAAAAAAAAAGAGTGTGAAAATAATATTATTCTATGTTAATATATATGTATGTATACAAAGGAAAAGATGAAGACAAGAATAGCGAAAAGAAGAAGATAAAAGGATAGCAAAGAAATGTACGATTGAGCTTTGTGTGAATTAAAATTCTTTGGAGAATGGTTGTACTTTTTATAATAAACTAAACATTACTAAAATTAATTCCGTTTATTTATTTTTGACAATTTTAGCATTTACACACCAATAATAATAAAAACCCTATTACTATGCTTATCAGCGGGTTCTACAATAAAACATTATATCTTTATAATAAAATTTATAATAAAATAGGCGGGAGATTGGCCATTTGCTTTGCTAAGTTACTAGATTACGCGTGTGAAAATTATGTACATCAGTTGCCATTAACATAATTATGATCCTTGAAGCTTATTCTTCTGACAGAACAACTCTTAGGGTAATACAAACTTATTTTTAATGCATTCATTTGTTTTTATGGCGTTTGGAATGTTATTCGGATCATCCAAACATATTTCTTGTTCTCATGCAATGATATCCGATAAAAACCAACACAATCAAGATTTACTATTACCTTTATTCTTAAAACCTTATAATATAATGAAAATTCAAAATACGTATATTCTAATGAACTCTAAGTACATCAATAAGATTTTATAAGGTCACCAATAAATGTTTATTGATATTTATTAATTTATTACTGTCATACGTACACATGCATACATCATTAATCCTTTAAGTACCTAAATACACACCAGAGTTCTAAATTTCGTTCGTCCTTCAGGTATGTACATTCATTTAGTTCTAAAGGTGCTTATGGCAACCAATAAAAAAAGAAAGGTATTAAAGCATGTAATTAATATTGCTTAATAATCCTTATTTTTTTTCCAATCAAGTTTATTACTTATCCATAGTAATTGGAGAACCGCATTAAGTACGTACTTACATATCGATATCTCCTTAATGCCTACTCATGTTCACAAAATTTTACTGTACTATCCACATGTTCTATTCAGGTTAGATAGCCCGTAAAAATCCCGATAATTATACCCGATACCCGATACCCGAAACTTTATTTTTTTCTATATAGCAATAGGCGCAATGTCGTCAGCCACAAACAGTTTTGTCAATGAAAAAAAGTATCGGTATACTACGTACGATTTCAGCCCACGACAAGTGATACGTACGTACCTAAAAACAAACAATTTACCGTTACGTATCTCTGGTAAAAAAAAAAAAAAATGCTCATTATTTCTTCCATTGAAAAGCATCATTATGGAAAAGTAACCAGAAAATTCTGAACATTGGTTAATGCTATATATATATATATTAATGGGATTCTACGTACCATGATAAATATTCGTGCATACATGTTTTTTGATTCATACTTATTTATGTACATATATATACGTACGTACGTACTTATACGTATGTATTTCAAGTCTTATGTTTATTTATTTATTATATATACTTTAAAATTTAAAATTAATACCTAATTTTAATGAAAATTAATTAATTACAACAAATACTAAAGCTTATTTCTGTAAATAAATTCAAAAATTATTTTATTACTATATCAAATTTTAGGTTTAGCTAATTATCGTTATACAGTATATGCGGTGTGTATTGATATGAATCTAGCTGCCGCAGTTTTTGTTTTCCTAGTAGAATAACGGTTAGTGGGAGCTGCAGTTTCATTAGTAGAATTTCATGTAATTTTGACCTAATTCTTTTTTTGCCTCGCATATTTCGTGCGGCTTCTAGAATAAATGTCAAACGTTTTTTTCATTAATAATTGTCACATATCCATTTGTTATATCTAGTGATGTGAGTTGGTAGCTACCGGTAGCTTTCTACCACTGGTAGCTACTACTACCGTGAGGTTAATGATATATAATGGTATATAGATCGTAGGTTGATGATATAGCAGTTTATTAAAGCTGATTGGTTGATTACGGCTTGCACTATATATATCATATGACTTTAAAAAAAAAATAGGTAGAAGAATTAGCCAATCAGAATGAAGCCCGCTATACTACCGGTAGGAAACATAGTAATAGTAATTTGGGAGAATTCACATCACTAGTTATGTATAGTGTTTAAACACATATAATAAAAACCGTTCAAATTGTTTTGTCTATTGACCAATCAAAATCTAGAATTATAACAATTTGGGAGATTTTACATCACTAGTCACACTGCGTAATGCGTTATATATAATAAAATGAATGCGACTGTTACCTGCCGTTATCCGTTTCCATGATAAATTTAGTATCTAACAGATCATGGATCCGAGCTCTAGACTGTTACTAATGAACAAGGCGTTTAACAACTCTGGATACAATTTAGTCATATTAAAATATAAGGCTCGATAAGGCCCTGAAAATATCTACCCTTTTCAAACTTCACGAGAAAATAACATACGATTTTCTAAGTAATGCTATTAACAATAAATATGTTTTTGGATTCAAAAAAATCGTTCCAATTCGCTATAAATCTATTAAATTTTAGTGATCAGTTCTGACACTACTCGCTATTGCTCAAATGTGATTTTTATTGATTCACTTACATCAGAGGTGCTTGTTTTAGCTTTACTAATTCGAAAGTCAACTGCATGTTATATTGATATTGTAACGGGGAAACGTGATCTGGCCACAAGTACATAAAAATGTGATCCGAAGCAACCGAACCTACGAATGCAAATTCTATGGACTATGCATAACAGCTGGATGGATTTTAATAATATCATACTGGGGTGTATCCTATCGGTCAATTTGCAAACATAGTACAAGTGATATGGTGAAAATTACTAATACATAAAGATTTTTAATAAAAATTTTGGGATCTGCGTTCTATATTAAATTATCGTTATGGCAATTGCTAATTTTCACCGAGGGAGTTCACCGGGTACTATATCTCAAAACTCAAAACGCACTAGCTAACATGTCAAGGTACTAGCCATCCTCACGTGATTCGAAAAAAAATAAACCAATAACCCAGTCTATGCAAGTATGTGATTCGCCCGATAATTCTCCTAGGCGGTTACTAGAGAGATAATAGGACTCATCATTGGTGAGCTTTCCTCCGTTACTATAATAATAACCTTCACCATGTCCACTGTATTCATTATACCCATCATCATCCGAATCCTCTTCATTCTCGCTATAATTAGAAGAAGCGTCAGAATCTTCATCCTCACATTCACGGGACTGAACTATATTCGAAGCTTTTTTTTGTCTGAGGTATAGAATCATAATCAATTTCATCATCATGGATCTCTGCCTTGGCTGTTACTTATGAGAACACCTAATTCCGATCGTTAACGGTGTTCTGATCTGTAATGTATCAGATTTGGGGATTAGTGAGTCTTGAAATACTATGTATCAACACTGCAAGTATACATGTGTGCCTAAATTGCCCATCTTAATAAAAAAGTAATTACGGCATTTAGGCAGCCGAAATTAATTTTATA